CCATCATCCAGCACATAGGTTCAGGAAATTCAAGGTCATCTCTATAACAACTTCAAACTGGAGACCAGCTTGGGCTACATGAGACCTTGTCTCAAAAAAAAAAAAAAAAAAAAAAAAGGAAAGGGGCCAACAGCCAAGATGTAGAACCACCTTAGATGCCCTTCAACAGATTTTTTTAACTGGCATTTGCACAATAGTATTTTATTTAGACATAAAAAAATGTTAAGTCCCGCCCCCTATTGTTAAACGTTCTTTATGGCTGATATATATACTGGTAAAAATGAAACACTTCAGTGACTGTGGCGAGTTGAAATTATACAAGTCCTCAGTCAAATTATCTCCTGCTCTCTCAGCCCCCTAAACAATCATTTATTGCCACCTCTGTGTTTGTCCTAGCATCCTTGAGACTATTAGGCAGATCTTTTTGGATATGTACGATCAGCCCTCTAGCTTCCCTCAACCCACAAGCTAAGAAGTCATCCCATGGCATCCGAGGCTGCAACAAAGGTTTCTCCCCTCTACCCTGCCTAGCCGGAGCTTCCACCAATGCTTTTAACTTCCTTATTTATCATTTTCTTTGTTCTGTTACAATAAAAACTTCAGCAAGCTCTCACCGTGTTGACATGCAGTATTTGGGGCAGTCTGAATCTGCATCCAGGATGTGGTCACTCATACTTAGATCTAGAATCTTCTTTCATTTACAGTAAGAGCTGTGCTTAAACCAAAAGAAAGAAATTGTGTCATGTGCAGAAAAGCAGGTGAAAAAACACAGGAGGCTGTGTACAGCTGGTCTCGATTCACTGCCTTTTTGAATCTAGATGTTTTTGAAGTGTATGTACATGATAGGGTTGTGGTATGCATGCACAATAGATAAATCTCAAATAATGTACTGACTGAAAGGACTCAAGTGCCAAGGGCTACATTGTGCATATACATAACATTTATATTACAATCTAGAAAAGGCCTCTGCATCCTGAGTGCTGGGATTAAAGGCATGCACCACCACCTCCCAGCTGAACATTTCTTTCTCTGTTATGTGGGTATGATAGCATCTAGGGTCTTTGTCCTGAATAAGTTATTTTCCTATTAGGATGTGAGACCTGGCCTTTTGACTAAAGGAGTTAAAGGTAACCTGCCAGAGCCAATCATTTTATAATGACCACAGTTTATAATGAGCCCAGGTATGAAAGTCTTCCATCTTGTCGAAGTCATTCTCTCAAGGTCTTCAATTGAGATCAGAGTTCTCCCTGACCCTCATGCCTGCATTCTGCATAAGCCCTCATCCCTCACTGCTTCCTCCTCTGCCCCTTGGTATTTTTCAACTCCAGGCACACTTCTGCTTGGAGAGGCTTGCTTCCTCTTTGTGGAACGCCTTTCTATACCACACAAATCACTCCTTCATCTTTGCTCAAATGTCATCTTCCCCAAAGATCTCTCCAGACTATCCTACCTAAAATGGTGACCACTCCTGGTCTCTTACTCTGATCTATAATTTTCTACAGCACCAGCTTCTGGTATATGATGCAAGTCTCTGTAGTAAGGAGTGAGCCACTTATTGGTTCCTGGCCTCTTAGCCCCAAAACAATCACACAAAAACTGTATTAATTAAATCACTGCTCAGCCCATTAGCTATAGCTTCTTATTGGCTAACTCTTATATATTAATTTAACCTATTTCTATTAATCTGTGTATGGCCACATGGTTGTGGCTTACTGGCTAAAGTTCTGGTGTCTGTCTCCGGCAGGGCTACATGGCTTCTCCCTAACTTTTCCTTCTTTCTCCCAGCATTCAGTTTAGTTTTCCCTGCCTATCTTTGTTCCCCTATAGCTCTGCTATAGACACAATGCAGTTCCTTTATTAACCAATTGTATTCACAGCATACAGAGGGAAATCCTACATCGTCTCCTATAGTTAATTATATTGTTCATGATGGCATTCCCACTAGAATGTGAATTTCAGTAAGCAGGGATTTTTGTCTGTACAGTTGTTGACGTGCCCTAGTTGTCCATATCAGGGCTAAGCAAATTCTAAGTACCCTATAAAGACTCATATTTGATGGATGAAAATGTGTTAATAACCACATAAATTTAACACTAAAATAACCAGTCAACAAAACTCTTACGAGGATTAAAAATAATAGACACTATGCAAAATTAAAATGTCTGACTCACTCTTACCTGATTTTGTGTGTGTGTGTGTGTGTGTGTTTGTGTGTATGTGTATGTCTGAGGGCATCATGAATGATAGGTAAGTGTTCTTCTACCCACTGAGATATACTCCCAGCACTAGCCAAATGCTGTTTGTGTGTGTGATATATGTACATGTGTGTACAGGTGTACATGTTCATGTGCATGTCCTTGTGTACATGGAGTGCCCAGAGGATCACACGTAGAGTTCTGTTCTCTCTCTCTGCCTTATTCCTTTTTTTTTGAGACTAGGTTTTACTATGTAGCTCTGGCTAGTCTGGTACTTTCCGTGTATACCAAGCTGGCCTTGAGCTCACAGAGATCCCCCTACCTCTGCCTCTCGCGGCAAAATTAAAGATGTGCACCACTACACCTAGAAGACAGGGTCTCTTTCTGAACTTGAAGGAGACTGGCAGCCAGCAAGCTCCAGTGATCCTCTGTCTCCACCTCCCTGCCCTTCCCTCGACACTCGAGTTACACAGGTGCCAAAGTTTACCCATGAGCCTCCTGCCTGCTCAGCAAGCATTCTGTTCATTAAGCCATGTTCTCAGCTGTATGTGGTTGCCAATGAGAGAGACTCACTGTGTTAACCAGGCTATCCTGAACTCAAGATCCTCCCGCTTCTACCTCCCCAGCACTCAGGAGGTAGAGGCAGGCGAATCTCTGAGTTCAAGGCCAGTTCAAGTCTACAGAGTGAATTGCAGGACAGCCAGGACTAACAGAGAAACCCCGTCTTGAGAAAGAGAGAGAGAGACAGACAGACAGATAGACAGATTTTGGGTTAGGCTTTGAAATTTGCATAGATGAAGCATGTAGAGCGAAGGCTGAGGAGGAAGTAGAAGAATGAATCAGAGTAGTGGTGGTTGCCTGTGCAGAGATGTGGAAATCACAGCCTGATGCTGTCAGGACCAAATTTCACAATCTATCTCGCTGTGGGACAATTGGAGGTCCAGGACAAATTTCTTGGAGTGGGGGAAGGCACTGGCGATATGGGCCTTAAAACAGTTTTTCCTCTTCTGATCCTAACCACGGCAAGCTTGGGCAGAGCTTCCTCTCAGTATGGGCAGGACTCCTGTCTGATGGGTACTGCTTCTCGGGTTGTGGGATGACTGCGTGGGAACAGGTCACCAGAACTAGAGCTGACCAAGTGACACCCCAGAAAGAGTCAGTTTTATAGATGAAATCCTATGTCAACAGACTCCCAACTCTGTTACTACCATGTGACCTTGAGCCAGTGGTAGTTCAAAGGATTAAGAGCCTCTGGAAGTGAGAGGATTGGGGGGAAATGATTCATATTTAAAAAAAAGTAGTGTGTGTGTTGACAGGCAGTGGTGGTGCATGACTTTAATCCCAGAATACTTTCCAGAGCTACAGAACCCCCCCCCCTCTCTATATATATAGTATGTGTGTGTGGAGAGAGACCACTCATACCACAGCATACGCGTGGAGATCAGAAGACAATTTCCCAGAGTCAGCTCTCCCACCTTTCTCTCGTGTCTTAGACTCTAACTCAGATCGCGACACTTGCACAGCAAGTGCCTTTACCCACTAAGCCAGCATGCTAGACCACACTGAACACGCAAATCTAATTGATTAAACTTAAAATCCTGTTTGTATCATTTTCTATTGCTGACTTCTATGGGAAAAGACTCTCACAAATCCTAGAAGCACAATTCTCAAAACAGCCATTGTGGACATAAGATATAGCCCTTTTACCCTCTTGTTCCCGTCTTATATGTCTTGAAACTGGGATGTTTTCACCAAATGCCCTGTTGACAGGATGGAGAATGTTTTCTGGGCCAACACATTATTAAGAGCAGGGACTTTGGAAGCACACCGCCTATCATTTCTTAGCGCTCTCTCCCTCCCCCTCTCTTCTCCTCCCCACCTTTGTACTTCACTTCCTCCCATCTGAAATGTGTTAAATGTGTTAGTATTTGTAAAGCCTTCAGAACAAGGACCCTGAAGGCAACAGCATTGTTTGCTAAGAATGCCTTGGTTTATCAGATTTCGTGTTTACTCTGTTTTGGTGTTGGGGTTGACCACTGGGCCTCAAGGCTGTATTCTCTGCCTGAGCTTCACCTGTTCAGCTCACCACTAAGCATCTAATTTGGACTGCTTGGTGTTAAAATAGCCTTGCTGTAGCTGTGTCTTGCTTTCCCGAAAGGTGTTGGCTTTTTATTAGCAGCGGTCATTATTAGTATGTATGAGTGTGCACATTAGTGTACTAATAATGTATGAATACGGATTTATGGGGAAGTTTGGGTCTTGACCCAAAATGGATTAAAGCAAAAGAAAATGCCTGTCATTTGGACACTAACCAATAATTAGTAAAAAATCCTGTCTATTTGGAAATAAACTTGGCACCTTAGGGCAGGCCTCTGCCAACTAACTGAATTAATGCAAAAGAACAACTAACTGGCAATCATTGCAGGATCTTCCAGTTAGGCCAGTCCCTTGCCCGTTGTGTTCTGCACAGGGATGGTGCTGGCAGCTTCGTTGCCTTCAGGTACTTTTTACAAGTTCACAGCTTGGAGTGTTTGAAACCGGGCGAAAAAGTACTTGCTTAGAGGAAGGCTTTTAATCTGGAGTGTGGTGGAACCTTCATTAGCCCCAGGTGCCCTTTTTACCCCGGCCTCGTCCTTCCTAGAGCCCTCACCTTTCCTTAATCACAAATTTTGTTTCTCTAATAACTCCGCCCTTTCGGGAAACACAGAGGCGGGGTTGAGGGCAAGTGCGCATATCATTGCGCTTGCGCTATGGGCCGGGCGCTAGCGCCTCAGGGAGGCCAAGCTCCCAGGGCTGATGTCCAGCGCGCCTGCGCAGTAGGCCCGGATGGCACCGCTAAATGGACTCGCCTCCAGGGCAGTGGCGTCAGTGCGACTGCGCGCGAGCCGGGTGCCGCGGTACTTAATTTCGCTGCGCCTAGACTCGCAAGTAGCCATGCGGAGAGCGGACCCCGAGCAGCCTGCAAAGCGGCCTCGCTGCGATGGCAGCCCCAGAACGCCGCCGAGCACCCGTCCTGCAGCGGCCAACGCGTCTCCGGGCTCCGAACTCCACATCGACCTCCCGACCTGGGATGTGGATGATGTGTGCTCCTTCTTGGAGGGAGAAGGCTTCCGAGAGCAAGTGCTGGACAGCTTCAGAGGTAACGGGGCTGAGGGGCTGAGGGGCTGAGGGGCTGAGGGGCTGAGGGACTGGGCTGAGCGGGGCAAGAAATTGCGCCCAAGAGACCGAGCGGGGAGAACCCACGCGAGTGGCATCCGAAGCGGGAGGCCCCTGGGGGAAGCGGCTGGTGGCGGGAACTCGGACCTGAGGCGGGAGGCGCCCCGACGCGAGCGGTTCAGGACGGCTACCCATAGGAGGGTGCTGGCTCTGGGGGCTACGGACCGGGAGGGGCCCTGGGAGGCTTGCATTTTCTTCTGGTGGATGGGTGTCTTGGGGAACTTGTCACTTCTTCTGACAGGAGAGATCCACGCCTTTCTAAGAAGATTTCCTCCCCAGACCTCGGGCAGTGGCTTGCGGTCTTTTCAGGTTGGGAAAAACCTTCTGTGCTAACCGCAGCTCCCAAAACACTTGACCCCGGGAGAGATTTTGGCACTTTTAAGTTTCGCTCTTAAGCCGTTCTCGGAATTTGGGGTTTTCCTGAAAGGGGAGGGTAGTTGGTAAATCTCCAGATTCTCACCGACTGCCATAGCGTCCCCGTAGGCGCTCAGTGTGTGCTGACTGTATTTACAGAGCGCTGCTTATCAACTTCTCTTCCAAAACAAGAACAACTCACTCAGGTGACCACTGCAACCCCAGCAGTCCACAGCTTGGCCACACAAAGGGGAGGGTATAGGCTGAGAATTTTAAGTGACCCTTCTGGTTTTTGCTCATGCATCAGTCAAACCCTCGGAATCTGCTCAGCTTGTTTGTGGTAGGTGTGAAGCTTAACCCCTTGCATGATCTCCTGAGGTGTTCGCTGGGAACGTGACTTGTAGATTCCGAAAACTTTGCTACTTGTGGGGCAGAGCCGTGTGCCTAATTGAAGGATCGGGAAGTTTCAAGTTCAGGGCATAAAGGTAGCTTACATGTAGGAACTAACATTTCTCTCTTTCCCTTCCCCACTTCTCACTCTACAGGAAAGTAACTTGGGGGGTGGGGTGCTAAGACAGTGTCTCTCTATGTAGCTCTAAGTGCCCTGGGACTCTCTATGTAGACCAGGCTGGCCTCGAACTCAGTGATCCACCTGCCTCTGCCTCCTGAGTGCTGGGGTGAAAGGCGTGCGCCACCACACCTGGCAGTATTTTATTTTAGTTTTATATGTGTGAGTGTTTTGCCTTCCTATGTGTATGTGCACCACGTGTGTGCCTCGCGTCCTTGAGGCCATAAGAGGGTGTAACTCCCCCTGTACTGAAGTTACAGGTGGTTGTGAGCTTCCATGGGAATGCTGAGAACTGAATCCGAGCCCTTTGCAAGAGAAGTGATTGCTCTTAACCTCTGAATTAGCTCTTCTGGCTTTATTTTTATTTGAATTATGTTTTTATGGGGGTGGGGATGGGGAGTGTATGCACCAGAGTGCGGTGCCCACGGAAGCCAGAAGAGGATATCCAACCGTCTGGAGCTGGCCGTTGTGAGTGGCCTAGGGACACAAAAGCTGTGTGTGCTCTTAACTACTAAAGCCATCTCTCCAGCTTCAGATGATGTTTTTTTTCTTTCTTTCTTTTTTTTTTATTTTATATCTTTTACGTCATGTATCTTTTTTAAAAAAAATTCTATGGTTTATTTAACTTTATTTTATGTGCATTGGTGTAAGGGTGTCAGATCGCTGGAACTGGATTTTCAGACAGTTGTGAACTGCTATGTGGGTGCTGGGAATTGAACCCAGGTCCTCGGGAAGAGCAGTCAGTGCTCTTAACCGCTGAGCCATCTCTCCAGCCCCCCCCCCCAGATGATGTTTTGATACCCAAAGATGTTAAGTAACCTCCCAGAGCCACATCTAGACAAAAGACGCAGAGCTGAATTTTTTAAAGGTTAAGTCTTTGGATTCCAGAATTCATTCTAGTTATTTCTTAACCAGTGTTCTCAATAAAAATTACTGGGGAACATATGGCTGTAATCCTACTCTTTGGGAGGCTGAAGCAAAACAATTAAGACTTCAGGTTCCAGTCTTAGGTTTTCAACCCATCCTGGGCTATGCAATAAGGCCTTGGAGAACATAACCAAAATTAGAAAATCAACTAAGAACAAGGGAAAAAATCTTGTAGAAAATGAGTAAAATAGCAAGAAGAAACCATCAATAACCTACCAATAAACTTAAGTAAAGCAGTTTTATCTCAATAGTAAGTTTTAAAATACTGGGTTTTAATTTAATAATTAGAAAAGATTGTTAGCAGATGAAATATGTATTCCAGTAAAGTTGATAGATGTGTCCGTTAGCTCAACTGTGGACAGTTTGGTAATGCTTTTTGACCTATAGTAAATAATGACGGCGACATTTATTATGTATATACTTTGTATGAAGTAACCCCATATACATTTTGCAAGCTTTTGGGGGAGGGATAGGATTTTTGTGTATATGTATGTAATATGGAGGATGAGACCAAGGGCTTTGTTCATGCTGTGTGAGACTCTACCATGGAGTCACATTACCCTCTTCCCCCGCATTCTGTACATATTTTATTTTATAAAATCTTACAACAGGGGCTGGGGAGATGGCTCAGTTAGTAACCATGCAAACAGGAAGATCAGAGTTCTAAATTTCAGCACCCACATGAAAAGTTGGGCTTAAAGGTGCATGTTTATAATCCCAGAGGTGAGGAAGCGGAGACAAAGTAGCTTCCTGAGGGTTGCTGGCCAAGCACTGTATCTGAATTGTTCTTATAAATTCAAACAGGCACACATACACATAAATAAATCTTAGAAAAATGCCAGGCAGAGGAGTAATTAAGGAAGATGCCTGACGTTGACCTCCAGCTTCCGACAAGCACATGCACAGGTGTGTGAACACACCCCACACAAGTGCACACATGTGCAGAATGTATTAGGATTTGTATATACTGTAGGATACAAAGTATCCATTAAGAAAGATCTCAGTGGTTTAGAGCACTGTTACCCTGGTTTGATTCCCAGCACCCACATGGCGGCTCAAAACCATCTGTAACTCCAGTTCCAGAGGATTCAGTAGCCTCTTCTGTCCTTCACTGACACCAGGCACACATGTGGTGTGTGTATGTATATGTGTGTGTGTATATATATATGCTGGTCAAATACTCATACATACAAAATAAATAAATCTTTTTTAAAACAATTTAAAAAGGGGGGGATACAAACTTTCATCATTGAGAAGAACTATGTTTAGGATATTGGGTGGGAAAAATTGGTTATATGACAATATTATATATGTAAACTGCATCATTTTGTATAGATAAATTTGTGATCTTAAAACGCTAACAATAGGTATCAGTTTGAACTTAAGTAAATTGGTATTTAGTATTTTTTATATATTATTTGGACTTTTTACATTGTGTAACTGATTTTTTGTAACAGAAAAAATACAGAAGTACTATTTTCACTTCATCTTTCCTCTTTCTTCCAGAAAACCGCTTCCTCAGTTTCTCTTGTTACATTGAGAAAGAAGGTTTTTGTTTATATGGAAATAGTCCAGAGCTATAGAATCCGAGCTCAAGAAGAGCTAGAATTTACTATTTGGAAAGAAAAAATATGTACATATATGTATATATAGCTCTTTCAAAACAGTATTGTGTGCTATCAAAGGTTACTTTAGAAATGGAACTCTGGGTACTCCTCCAACTGATTTTAATCTGATGATTCTAAGACAATTGATTTAAAGTCCTTCTCTGACACCACCCCTCGCCCTGAGACTTACAAAACAGGAAGCGGCAGACCTGGCAGGACCTCACAATCAATTAGGTTTCACTTTACTTTCCCCATTGCTTTTCTCAGAAACAATTTACATGAATAATTACAAATGCTCATCTGAGTCATCAAAATAGTTCTTAGGTTTGTTACCTAATTAAGATTTTTATCAAATAGAATTTTTAAAAGAAGGGATAGAAAGACTTTTAAAGTAGAATGTCAAAAGTGTAGTACATCTCAGTTATAAAATGCTTACTTAGTATGTACAAAGACCTGGATTCGATCCTTAGTAACTTTTTTTTTTTTTTAATTTTTGAACTCTGGAGGCTCTCAGAGATAAAGCCAAGCTAGCTATATGGCAAAACTGTCATAAAAAAAAAAAAAGCCTGGCATGGTGATGCACCCCTTTACTCCTAGCACTTGGAGGTAGTGCAAGTGGATTTCTATGAGTGTGAGGAGCCCAGCCTGTCTACATAGTGAGTTCCTGTATGGCTAGAGCTACACAGTGAGACCTTGACTCAAAAAACCTAAATAAATAACTACATAAAATAGGAAGGGAAGACAAGAAAGATAGTTCAGTGGTTAAGAGTGATTGCCCATAATCATGAGGACTGGAGGAGTTCAGATCCCAGCCCCACATAACAAGATGAGTGTTTCCTGTAAATGTCAGTAATCTCTAAGGTGGGATGTAGACAGGAGGAGGATAGCTGGCGATTACTGGCTTCCAACCTAGCCAAATGCAAGCCCCAGGTTCAGGAAAGAGACCTTGTCTCAGAGTAACAGGCAGAGAGTGATGGAAGAAGACACTCAATGCTCTCCGTGTGTCAGTACTGGTGCACACTACAACACATACACAATTTAAATATATATTAAACATATGTTATATATTTTTAATTTTTATATTTTATTAATTATTTAGCATATTTTAAATATATATTTATTTTTAAAGTATGGTGAATTTGTGTCTCAGTGTCTGAGAAGCACTGGTTCTAAGACCAGGCAGGTATCTAAAGATATGGTGCTTCAGCCCATTACACAAAATAGCATAGTGCGTTTGCTTCTGACCTGTGTATACCCACGTCTGTATTCTTTAAATCATCTCTACATTACTGTAAAGCCTCAAATAATGTAAACAGTTGTCGTACCATATTTTGAAATGTCATCTACAATAATGAACACAAGTCTTTACATGTTCAATGCAGGTGCAGGAGTTTTTCTGAATATTTTCCATTAGTACTATCAATAAGAAATCTGGCTACAGAAGGCTGGCTGTAGGCCATATGGCTCACTGCCTGTAGTGGGTTCTTAGTGAATACAAGCTGAGTGCGTTCTGATGGATTCAAACCAAAGGAAACTGGAAAACATACTCTGTAAATACTGACTTTGCTTTTTCCTCTTCCTTAGAGAATAAGATCACTGGTGAATTTCTGCCCTTTCTCAAAGGGTATCTTCTTGAAAATCTTGGAGTAAGGTAAGAATAATAAAATCATACTTTATTCACCTTTCAGAGACAAAGCTCAGGATCTCGGGTTTTACCCATCCTCAGTTCAGTACTGTGATATGTGTTAGGACAGAATCCCTTGCCTTCTGTTTCTGCCGCACGGACCTTGTGTTTAGTTTTACATGTGGTTTCTATTTCAAAGGGCTTTGCTGACAAGCATTCATGGAGTTTATAGAGACCAACTTTTTACTCTCAAATTTAGTATAATTGAATTGTTTACACTAGAAATATGTATCAGAATCAACAGGAAAAAAATTAACAAGAAAGTCAAAGTTACCATCCTATCTATTTGTAGGTCGTCCTAAGGCTGTCTAGGACTGGGATATATCTGTGTATGTAATCTGTTAAAGCTCATAATTATCCCTATATGGCTTTGTATACACACATGTAGATATCTCTGTGTATGACTGGAGGTTCTGGGGTCTAAGTTAGAGCTAAGACCCCTTTAAAGATCTTAGCTGATATTCAGTGTTTATGTGTGCTTTAAAATGTAAGTTTTCTTTCTTTCAGAATTGACAACAGTTAGTTTAATGTTTGTGGTAACAGTAACTAAAGAATAAAAACAAAGTCTTATTCTGAATTACTTCAGAGCCTCCGGTTTAGAACTTGAGAATGGAAATAGATTGTGAATGAACCTTAGCAAAGAATGTTAGCTATCCTTTAGAAGCTGCCCTTTGGAGCACAGGCTTCAGGGATGTTGACTCTGCTTCTTTCATTCCCATTTCAGCCGTATGAGACTTCCATTTATCACCTTCTTACCTGGGCCGTGGTGGACTTTCTTCTAATCTCTTTTCAAAGACCCAAACACTGTTGACTTGTTTAGCAGCTATTTATGGGAGGTTCATTTGGTTCTAGGCACTCCTCTGGGAGCTTGGGACACATGGGTGAACAAGACAGGCAAATTCCAGAAGGACAGTACTGTACGCTATGTGTCTTGTACCCTGCTTTCTGCCTCTGAGATGAAGCCTGCAGGATATAAACAGGCTTGCATTAGCCTGTAATATAGCCACCTGTTGTATGTTTAAATTATCTAAAATTTGACTAAGTCAGGGGCCGGAGCTGTGGCCCCGAGAGTAAGAGCACTTGCTGGTCTTCAGGAGGACCCACATCGAGCTGCCCTTAGCAGCACCAGTGACTCTAGCTCCATTGAATCTAACGCTCTCTGACCTCCACAGACTGGCTCATGTGCACAAATCCACACACAGATACAATTAGAACTTTTCAGTTAGATGAATTAAAATTTTTTAGTTCTTCTGTTGTACTATCTACATTTCAGTTGATCAATAACCCCTTGTGCCCAGTTGCCAGTGTGTTACACAGGGCAGACAAGACACTTTGGTAGCTGCAAAACATTCTGGGAGGCAGCTGCCTCAGAGAATACCACAGCATCACCCAGTGAGCCCGTGGTGCTAGCCTCGCTTGCTGCTGTATGGTCATGCTTTTCTCTCATTTCTCTTTTATCCTTCCCTGTCCACCAACTCCTGTTTCCAGGATATAAACTCCCAGATAAATTTCCTGTATATAAGCTCTTGTGTTGGACTCTGCATATTATGGGGAGTCATGTTTAGATAAACACTTGCTGTATTCCTTGAATTGTTGATTAAATTATTAAGCAAATATTGATATATTTACTTATGTTGTTTCAATTTTAGTTCCTTGGAAGAGAGGAGGAAGATGATTGCATGTATCCAGAAACTGAGTCAGTCTCACATAGAGCTGATGAAGGTAAAGGGATCTGAGTGTATGAACAGCATTTCCTTTTTTATACAGGAAGTATTGTGTCATAAGGAATTATAGCTTTTGATTTTGACTTATTATACGATGTAGTGTGTGGGGGGAGGTGTACATAAAAGTGTCACGGTCCAAGTGTAGTAGTCAGAAGACAACTTTAGGGAGTTGGTACTCTCCCTCCACCATGTGGATACAAGGGATAGAACTCGGGTCCCAAGGCTTGGCCTCAAATGTGTTTACCCACTGAGCTATCTCTAGCCCTGTGATGATATTTTTGGCAATCATCTAATTCGACAAAAAGCCCTAGTAGCCTTCAGCCATAGAATAACTTTTATTTATTAGTTTTTATTTTGATTAATTTATTTATTTTTGAGGGAGTGTCTCACTACGTATCCCTGGCTGTCCTCAAACTTGCTATATAGCCCAGGCTGACCTCAAACTCAGAGATCCACCTGCCTCTGCCTCTTAAGTGTTGGGATTAAAGACACGCATCACCATATCCAGCAAGCTTTTTGTTTTAGTTTTTATTTAATTAATTTATTTTTATGTGTATGAGTGCTTTGCCTGCGTGTATATGTGTTTGCCACTTTTCTTACATGATGCCCGTGGAGGCCAGAGGAGGGCATTGGATCCCGGGAACTGGAGTTACAGATGGCTGTGGGCTGCCGTGTGTGTAGGTGCTGGGATTTCTTTCTTTGTTTTGACCCTCTGGGCAGATTGTACTGTTTCTCCCAGAGTACAGAAACAGTTCCTGACTGATTTCTTACCCACTCTGCTTGGCATATACAATAACTGAACAGTTAATGGGATTGTATTATCTTGTGGGCTAGTAACAGACCAGAATATTATACAGCCACTACAAGTCATAAGCAGATCATGTGACTCTGTGAGGACTCATTTATATCATGTAATAATAGTAAGAATAAAAATGACCACTGGTGGTGGTGGCACACAGCTTTAGTCCTAGCACTTGGGAGGCAGGGGCAGGCGGATCTCTGAGTCTGAGGACAGCCTGGTCCACAGAGCAAGTTCCAGTACAACCAGGGCTACATAGAGAAACCCTGTCTATGTATGTATGTATGTATGTATGTATGTATGTATGTATGTATGTTCTCACTTGTTTGTGATGGCTAGGTTGACCTTGTGTTAGGAGGAATGCTTGTTTATGATAAGGTATTTAGAGATCACTGAACTTGCTCTTATGCAGTAAGGATGCCCAGAGGATTTAATTTTGATATTCTCAGTTCCTTCTCTTCCTGAGGACTTTAATATCATTCTCTGAGTGTTATTAGAGGTGATAACCTTGATATAGTTTATGATAATCATCAAGTGACTTTGCAGAGCAGGGTGGAAAACTTTAATATTCTCCAAATACACATGGTACAGAGACAGGTAAATGCTCATTAAAAAATAGAATGTCAAATTTTTAAAATTTTAGCTGTTGGTTAATGAAGTTGAATTATTAAAATGATTATTATCTAAAAATATAAAAGGGTCACTGTTCATTTTGTTATAACAAGGAAACTATTATGATATTAACTGTTAAAAGCAGTTTTTAAAATTGTATTTATTGTTTCTGTGTATGTGTGATGGGGGACATGTGTGTGCCAGTACAGGCATATGGAGGTCAAAGGACAACTTTTTAAACATCATTTTCCAGGTATTTAATGATCCTATTCATGGCCATATTGAGTTCCACCCTCTCCTTATCCGAATCATTGACACACCTCAGTTTCAGCGGCTTCGCTACATTAAACAGCTGGGAGGCGGCTACTATGTTTTCCCAGGAGCTTCACACAATCGCTTTGAACACAGTCTGGGGTAAGAAGGGAAAGGCATGGGGACCATGCAGTTTTTACTGCTTCTCTCTCATGGAGTAGTCTCATTTAATCTCTTAGAGGGTGCTTTCTCAAATGGTCATTGTAACATCTTTATTTCATTGATGAGAAAACTGAGACTTTGGCATCCTCTTATCATATTTTATGTGTTTTTGAAACTGCATCATATCCTCCTGAAACCTAGTGTCTGCTAACAGGTCAGTTGGATTAAATACTTGTCTGTAAATGCTTACATTGACTGGGGTTGACTGCTGGCATAACTAACTTTAATTTGATTAGTTTTCCTTTTGTCCCTAGTTAGTCTTTTCATCTCTTTCCTTCTGGGACAGAGGCTCCTGGGAGAGCTCAGGCTGACCTCAGACTCAGTGTCCCCCACCTCATCTCCAGAGAGTGGAGATTCTGGGCACACTCCACTATGCCTGGCTCCTGTTTAGTTTTATTATAGATTCACCCTTTTATACAAAGTAATTGTGTCAGGAAATATATGAGTTAGAGAAATGCTTATAAGCTCTGGGAGGGTTGTCTCTGGTTTATACTTTTCATTCTGTGTGTAGAGCTGGGAGAAGTGGGCAGCATTCAATTGGGAATTAAGTATTTGCTTTTTTACTTGCTTTGTGGATTTTCATTTATGCAAGCTTTTTTCTTTCTCACTTGCTTCCTTTGGTCATAGACGTACTGCGTGCTAACCAACTGCGCCCCTGCAGCTCCTCTTGCTTCCTTTTGTTTCCTTCAGGGTTTCATTTTACAGCCTAGGCTGGCCTCAAACTCCTAATCCTCAGCCTCCCAAATACCAGAGTTCCAGGTGTGTGTCACTGTGTCCAGGTCCAGTAGTCAAGATAAAATGTACCTATGCTCAGATTATAAACACTGTTTATTGAACCCTCATTAGAACTTGTCTACCTTCCTAGATCTGAGTTCAGGAGAGAAGTGCTGAAAGTACATTTAATGCTTGTTATTAGGCCATTTATTTATCTTATTTTTGTTTGCTTTGCTGGGGATTAAACCCAGGGTCTTTTACATGCTAGTCAAGTGTTCTACAAAACCACATCCTCGGCCCTGCCAAGCACTTATCTTCAGTCTGTGTTGGAACATCAGAGAGCCAACTCTCAGAACTCAAAAAGTTTCAAGTTCTAAAGGTTCATCTTTTAAACCAAAGTGTGACTTTTGATCTTTTTCTTTGCAGGGTTGGGCACCTAGCAGGCTGCGTCGTTCGAGCACTGGCTGAAAAACAGCCAGAGTTGCAGATCAGTGAGCGAGATATCCTTTGTGTTCAGATTGCTGGGCTCTGCCATGACCTCGGTAAGCTCACAGAAGCCCTCACTTCGTGTAAGATCCTACTGTCTCACCTCTGCTTCACATTCAGAACTCCGTCTAACCAAAGGAGATGTACAAGTATTTTAATTTTTCGCTAATCACAGCGCTCCGTGGTTCCTAATATTATTGATAAGGACGAAACATGGTTATTACTTGTGAATTTTCCATATTAAGCCTCTTTGCTATGTCACATGAAAGGTATTATTCATTTATTTATTATTGATTTATTTATGTATTCATGAGACAGGGTTCTTGCTATGTAACCCAAACCGTCCTAGAACTCACTATATTTAGCCTGGGCTAGCCTCAAACTCATGGCAATACTCCTGCTTCTGCCCAAGTGCTGAGATTACGAGCATGAGCCTCTGCACTGGCTGAAGGGGCTTTCCGACAGTGAGTTGTCTTGCTCTGTCTTTAGGATAACAGAAACCTGAATTTTCTCTCATTCTCATTGACTAAAATTGCTTTTTCCTTTAGTCATTATAAATCCATCCCTTCTCACAACTAGAACAGCTTAAAGAAATACTTTTTCTTCCCTTACTCACAGGAGGTCTTAGGCCATTTAAATCCAGGTAGAAGAGTATCATCCTTTTCATTTAAAAAAAAAAAAAAAGTGGCTGCTCCGACCTCTTTAGTTACAGAAGAGAAGTGTGTACTTGTGTCTCCATGGACAGACACTGAAGGAGCAGAGTCCTACCTTTCAGTAGGCTCAGAGATCCTTTCTAGAGGATAGTTGGTTCTTGTATGCTTTTTGAGTGGATGGAAACCTAGGAGCTGTGCATGCTAGGGCCTGGCTCTCCCAACTGAGCTGCAATCGAAGTCCTAAATCAATAAACTTTGTTTCTTTAGTTTTTGGGGTGTTTTTTTGTTTGTTTGTTTGTTTGTTTGATTTTGCATTTTGCTTTTTTACAAAAACTCCTCGCATTCCTGGTAGCGAATACAAAACTGGAGACTGACCTAGAGAGGGTTGGCTTTTCAATATGGTTTTGCATCTTATTCTGTTGTTTTGGAAAATTGGAAAGGCAGATTTGTTCTTTTTTTCTTATTAATTTATAGATTAAGAGTGTATTTGAAGTAAACTAAAAAAAATTTTTTTTTTAAGAATTCAGTTTTTACCAATTTACAAATACTTTTCTTATTTGAAGTCTGCTTTTGTTTTTAGGTCATGGGCCATTTTCTCATATGTTTGATGGAAGATTTATGCCAGTTGCTCGCCCAGATAGAAATTGGAAGGTATGTATTCATCTGTTCCATAGTCAATAGAAATAGAATTCATCTGGTTGTCCACTTGCATTGCCTGTCTTTCCTCTCTGGGTTCTAGCATCCTTCCCTGGAGCAGTGTGCAGGGTTCCTCTCTGGGTTCTAGCATCCTCCCTGGAGCAGTGTGCAGGTGCTCCCATTCACATTTGTCTGCTTCGTTTGCAGTAGTCTGTGGAGAAAGGGACTTGAAACCCTCCAGAGCATAGCGCTGTGCCTGACTTTAGAAAGCTGTCAAGTGAGGGACCCACCCTAGAAACCGCTTCCTCAGCTGTCAGGGCAATGATCTTTTCCATTCTGTTGCATTGCTGCACAGATTGTTTTTAAAGTCCAACTTCAGCTTTTATTTTGGTATAGCCATGAAGTTAAGTATCGTTATTTTTAGTAAACGAACCTGTATTTTTAATACAGAGTTTTCCTAGGTAGATGAGAATGACTTTGAATGCTGTCCTGCCTCAGTCTCCCAAAAGCGGAGAGCATGCTACACCCTCATTTCTAGCTTTAAATGACCCTGCCCCCCCCCCCACCATTTGCAGGTGATGAAGCTGTGCATTTTGGATCAGTTTTTGAGAAATGAGTTGACCTCTCGGTTTCTACCACACTGTATTTCTAACAGCTGGAGGAGAAAAGCACGTTGACTTAAGCCGAAAGCTCCTTATATGTCAAACCATTGTTTTCTCTGCCTTTCCTTTTTTAAATATATTTTTTACATCATTGTTACTGTTTTTGTTTTGAGACAGGGTCTTGAAACTGAGATTGCCTGCTTCTGTTTCCCTAGAGCTGGGATTAAAGGCCTGTGCTGTCTCTCCTGGCTTTAATTGTACAAGGCCGGCAGGAGTCTGACAAATGAACACATACGGTCAGACTGTCGAACATTTTCATCATTTGGGGAGTTCCCTGTGCCTTGCCTTTTTTTCTGTGGTGCTGAGGCTCAAACCCACAGCCCTGCACACACTAAGTTTGTGCCATTGCCACAGCCCAGCCCTTCCTCCATGTTCTTTTAAAATCAGTCCTCCATCACTTCTGATTTTCTTGAACATAGATTAGTCTGTCTTAGACTTGGTATCTCAGTTTCACTTGTATTCTCTAATCTGTTGCAAGTGTGATTTCCTGTTGTTGGCACCACATGGTTCTATACATTGTGTGTGTGTGTGTGTGTGTGTGTGTACTTGTGTGCAGGGTGTGTAAACTTCCTCGATAGTGGGCTAGGAGGCTGCTTCCTGGGACATCACATGCCAAGCGGCTGAGTTTAGGCTTGATCCCAACACTGCAGTAAGGTGAGGTGGGGCAGATTTTGGTCCTGGGAGATAGCTCAGTGTGTATGGTGCTAAACACCTGAGTTTGGCCCCCAGAGCCGACAAGTGTGGAGTGTGTGTGTGTGTGTGGTCCTGGTGGTAGGGAGGCACTGCCAGGTTCCTGGGGTTTACTGCCCAGCCAGCCTGGCCTACTTGGAGAGTTCGAGGCCAACAGGGACAACTGAGAAATGATAGCTGGGGTTATCATCTTGTCTCCATAGGCATACACGTGCAAGAGTTTTTATTGTTTGCCCACTTAGTATTGATTTATAAGAATTTATGTATGCGGTTTTTTTTTTTTTTTTTTTTTTAGTTTTAGTTTTTCGAGACAGGGTTTCTCCTTAGCTTTGGAGCCTGTCCTGGCACTAGCTCTTGTAGACCAGGCTGGCCTAGAACTCCCAGAGATCCGCCTGCCTCTGCCTCCCGAGTGCTGGGATTAAAGGCGTGCGTATATTGTTTTATATGTTTTAGAAATATTTTCTGTTAGTGTTTGACTTGCCACCTCCCCCCACCCCCAGACAGGGTTTCTCTGTGTAACAGCTTTGGCTGTCCTTCCTGGAACTAGCTTAGACTAGGCTGGCCTTGAACTCACAGAGATCCGCCTGCCACTTATTTTTTTAACGGTGCCTTTTGAGAAAGACGTTTTCTAGTCTCCTTTAAATCAGTAAATTGCATAGTTTCCCATCAGTTTTAGTGCTGTGTGGCCTGCTCCCCGGATGAAGACCATAAAATTGGAAGCTAGTTCTTTGCCCTCTCATCCTGCTGTTGACTTTCTTTTAACATCTGCTTGCTTTTGGCCATTGCGGTCATGAAGTTAGTCGTCCAGAGTACAATTTTTTTGTCTCCAGCAGGATTGATCTAATAGATCTAGGAGCTACTCAACCATTACTCTGTGTGTGTGTGTGTGTGTGTGTGCGCGCGCGCGCGCGCGCGCGTGCGTGTGTGTGTGTGTGTGCGTGCTATGTATATGCTGTGTTTGCATATGCTGTGTTTGTGTGCTGTGTGTGAATCTGTGTGTGTGTGTGCTGTTTGTGTGCTATGTGCATGTGGTATGTATGTGTGCTGTGTGTGAGTCTCTGTGTTATATGTATGTGGTATATATGTGTTGTGTGGGTGTGCTATTTGTGTGTATGCTGTGTGTGTCTCTTTGTATATGTGCTATGTATGTGTGCACTCTGCATGTGTATGGTGTTTGTGCTCTGTGTTTGTGTGTGTGTGCACACACATGCTTATACATGCTAGGAAAGTGCTATACCACTAAGCCTTTAAAAATATTTTTGCCTTTTTCATTTAATACTTTAGCTCAGGGGCTGGAGAGATGGCTCAGAGGTTAAGAGCATTGCCTGCTCTTCCAAAGGTCCTGAGTTCAATTCCCAGCAACCACATGGTGGCTCACAACCATCTGTAATGGGGTCTGGTGCCCTCTTCTGGCCTGCAGGCATACACACAGACAGAATATTGTATACATAATAAATAAATATTTAAAAAATATTTTAGCTCATATGGAATTAATTCTTATATACAAATAATACAAATATAATATCTTTCTTTTATTTGTAGAGATACTTGTTTTGTTTTACTTTTCTGCAGTTTGGGGAGTTGTACTAAGGTTGTCAAGCATACTAAGCAAGTACTCTACCACTAAGTGATAGCCCCAGCCTAATGGATAGCTGTTTATTGAGTAATAGTTAATCCTTTTTTCACAGATCTAAGTTGTCGACATTTAAAAATTTCCCATATATGATCAATCTTCCTAGATTCTATTTCACAGTTTTCTTTTTTTAATTATTATTATTTTGCATGTGTTCATTGCCTGTGTGTATGTGTGTGTGCGCGCGCGCGCGCGCGTGTATGCGCATCACATACATGCCTAGTACCCGAGGTGAGAGGGGACATTGGATCCCTTTGAACCGTAGTTAGGGATGGTTGTGAGCCACTGTGTTGGTGTTGAGAAGCAAACCCAGTCCTCTTCTTGGACAGCATGTTTTCTTAACCACTGAGCCCCATGTTTCATTTAATTATTATTATTGTATAATAGGGTTTTGTACTTAGAACAGTGATTGTTTATGTGGATTTATGAAGTGTGAGCCAGCATTCTATATAATTATTCCTGAGGCCCCGAGGAGACAAGCGCAAGTTCCAGGCCAGTCCAGGCTATTTAGTGAGTTCAGGTCAGTGTGGGTGATAAAAACAGACAACACATAATCAAGGTAACAAAGTTATTATTTATGTGTTTGTAATTAATATATCTTGAGTCAATTCATAATAGTTATAGGATCATTCCAGGTTCATTTTCATTTTTAATCAGTTTTGATAAGACATATGATAGGACTGATATCTCCAGGGGTCAGTTGTTCTTTATAGTGACTGTGAACGGATGAACAGAGACATGAGCAACCAGGTGACTGATTTGAGAATTTAAGTCAGATCTTGACACTAGAGCTGGGAGACACATAATTTTACTGGCAATGTTGTGGAAATATCAATCAACAGCTCTTAACTTCAAATGTTCTTCTGTGTTTGAAAAAAAAACCCTAAATTTTAAAGTGATTTTCATTCTGCCTATATCATCTGGTAATATCCTTCTTGGTAACATAAATAGTTATATTTCATAAAATATTTTTGTTGTATTTATTTATGAAATAAGAAACATGGCTTTGTGGAAGAGGCCCAATAAGATAAAGTATCTGTGAAGATGCCGCAGTGAAGCCCATCCCTTTGTATGCCCATTTCAGAAGCTGATAAAAGTGGCCTTGTGACTGGGCATGGTGGGGCACGACTTCAGCACTATATAGTGAGACCATCTCAAAAAAAAAAAACAATCCACATGCCGGGCGATGGTGGCGCACGCCTTTAATCCCAGCACTCGGGAGGCAGAGGCAGGTGGATCTCTGTGAGTTCAAGACCAGCCTGGTCTACAGAGCTAGTGCCAGGACAGGCTCCAAAGCCACAGAGAAACCCTGTCTCAAAAAACCAAAAAAAAAAAAAAAAAAAAAAAAATCCACCAACTGAAAATGTTTTCTAGGCAAATAAATATTGACAAAAATCGACTAACTTAAAAGTTGTAACAATTTAGTTGGAAACTCAGTAATCGACACTCGGCGAGACTTCATCTGAGGTTACCTAGAATTCAGAATAATCTGTTTAATTAGTGAATCTGTAACAGGCTGTGTTGTATTCACTTTTGCAGCATGAACAAGGCTCAGTTGACATGTTTGATCATCTGGTTACTTCTAATAACCTCAAACCTATCATGAGAAACTATGGTCTCGTCCCTGAAGAAGATATTCCCTTTATCAAGGAACAAATTTGTGGACCAGATCAAAGGACACCAATCAAAGACTCTTTGGTGAGTGTTTATTCTTGTTAATCAGAGCCAACGGTCACTTTCCATTTAGTCTGTCCTTGATTCTGTCAGAGCTACACATTTGGCTATTGGAGGGGTGCTAAATATCAGAATATAAGTTATGTACATCTGCCTTCTAATGCAAAAACAAAAGCAAAAAGATGTATTTTCCCCCTCATCTTGAGTTCTTTAGACATTATTTCCCCCAAATGATAGTTTATGTCTGCAACGTCAGTACTTGGGATGCAGAAGCAGGAGGATCAAAATGTAAAAGTTATAAATGCTCGGTCGATAGCTTATGATGGTTACTAACTAGCTCCTACAACTTAAATTAACCCAAATTGCTTATCTACCATCTGCCCTGTGGTGATACCCTCTTTCACCACAGTCTGCTGCTTCTCTGCCCTTCTTCCCAGCATCCTTCTAGTCTGGCTATCCCAGACTAGGATATCCCTCTCTTCTTGCCCAGCTATCGGCCAGTCAGCTCTTTATTCACCAATGAGAGTAATGCATATTTACAGTGCACAAAGAGTGTTCCACAGCACACGACAACAACTGAAAAAAAAAAAAGCTCCTGGCAGTGGTGGTGCACGCCTTTAATCCCAGAATTTGGGAGGCAGAGGCAAGCACATCTCAGTGAGTTCGAGGCCAGCCTGGTCTACAAAGTAACTTCCAGGACAGCCAGGACTATTACACAGAGAAACCCTGTCTCAACAAAACAAACAAACAAACAAACAAACAAAAAGCGTGGCTGGGCACAGGCTTGTAACCTCATCACTGAGAGGCAGAAGAAGACATTCAAAATTGACCTCTGGTCTCTCTGTGTATGTACACACACAAGCACATACATAGGCTCGCGCGTGAACACACACAGCTGCCTGTGGACCACAGTGTACATGTGGAAGTCACAGGACAATCTGCGGGAGTCAATTCTCTCTTTTCACCTTGTGGGTCCTAGGGATAGAACTCAGGTTGGCAGCAAAAGCCTTTACTTGCTAAGCCATCCCACCAGCTATTTATAGACTTTTATTTATTCATTTATTTTTGTGATGCCGGCAGTCAAGCCCAGGTGGTCACACCTGCACGCACTGTACCACAGAGCAACATTCCCAGATGGAAGACTTGGTATTAATAGGATAACATATACTTACTTCAGCATTTCTTTTCCCTTCCTACTTCGGCAGACTTGCGGAGGAGAAAGAAAGGTTAGCCTTCTGACTTCACGGTCTTGTTTGTAATTTGCATGTCGATAGGGTTGCCTTGCTTATAAATAGGTCTGCGTCTACCTAAAACCTCCATGAGACTCTCTTGTTTTCCAGTGGCCCTATAAAGGACGTCCTGTCGAGAAGAGCTTCCTCTATGAGATAGTGGCTAACAAAAGAAATGGCATCGATGTGGACAAATGGGATTATTTTGCCAGGTATGCACTGGACATTTTCCACGTTGCTGAAATCTTTGTACAGATGTAGCATAAGGGCCTACCCAGCTAATCAGAAGTTGGGCACAGCCGTCCTAGCATGGCTGTAGCACTAGTTTCGTGGCCGCTGTGGCAGAAGCGAAACAGCCTTCCCTCGTTCTGAATGTTCTGGGTTCCTTCCTGCCTCGTCTTGCATCACCATCACTTACTCTTCTGGGTCCTGTTGGGCTCTGGTTAGCCCTTTAGCTGGGTCAAAGTAGAAGACAGTCTCATTTTGAAGTGGGGAAAATTCCCTTTTTCTCTCTGTTTACTTCTTCACAGTCAAGGCTTTGTTCTTAAACGTAATGAAGGATTTTAGTCATAAGTGAGAACAGCATAAGGACCTTCCAGGTGCTCATACCTCAAGTTGCTGTGTGTTAAGTATTTTTCCTTGAATGGCCGACCTCTCCACCGACGCAATAATTCCAATCAGACCAAATTAGAACATGTCCAGGTTTAATCCGCCTGCCTCTGCCTCCCACGTGCTGGGATTAAAGATTAGAACATGTCCAGGTTTAATCCGCCTGCCTCTGCCTCCCATGTGCTGGGATTAAAGGCGTGCACCACCACACTCTGCCTCCCATGACCAATCTTATTTTGATCATTCTACCCTCCAAATTATTTTAATGCTAGTTTGAGACAGTGTCTCACTATGTAGACCAATCTGACATCAAGCTCATGGAGATTGCCTGCTTCTGTCTCCTGGGTGATTTCACATTATTTTAAAGCAAATCTCAGGCAACATAGGATCTCATCATGAAATATTTCTATGTGGCTCTGTAAATAAAGTGTCTCTGTTAAACCTAAAAACACTCAGAGATCCTCCTGCCTCAGCCTCCTGAGTGCTGGGATTAAAGGTGTGTGCCACTACTCCTGGCTAAGGTATTACTTAATATATGGTCAGAGTTCAAAATTCCCTAGCTGCTTCTTAACTACCTTGTTACTGTTAGCTTGTGCAATTCATAATCCAGTGTCTACACACTGCACCTGGTGCTAGCTCTCCAGGTTTCCATTCGATAGTCACGTTCTTCCAGGGAATCTCTTGCTGACTCTGCTAGCCAGTCACACCTCTCTGTGTCCTTCGGTGTATTCTTCAGTCCCCAACCAGCCTTCTGCAAGCTGGTAGATCCAAAGCCTGGTTCAGAATTGAAAAGAAAGAAAAGAAGTGTACTGTTTGTATTTAAGGCACAGTTTCCCTGTTGAAATGTTTTGTATCTCTGCTTTGGAACTTTCTAGGGACTGTCACCATCTTGGAATCAAAAATAATTTTGATTACAAGCGCTATGTTATGTTTTCCCGTGTCTGTGAAGTGGAAGACAATAAAGGTGGCTATAAGATGAAGCACATCTGTACTAGGGAAAAGGTAAGTCCCATCCTCAGAAAATAAGGATACAGCCCCTGGTCTGAAATCTGGAAATAATCACTTAGCAATTTGAAAAGATCCAGAAGCCATCTTTCTTTTCATTTCCTCCTTCCTTCCTTCCTTCCTTCCTTCCTTCCTTCCTTCCTTCCTTCCTTCCTTCCTTCCTTCCTTCTCTTTTGATTTTTTTTAGATTGTGTATGTACATGTACATATATGGATTATGTGTGTGCTTGCTGTGCATGCCTGTGTGAACGCATGCAGAGGCTGCCCTCCATCACTGTCTGCCTTATCCTTTTATGTCAAGGTTCCCTACACTTTGTACTCATGTTTTTTATTAGTCATCCTCCTGTTCCTGTCTCACCCAGCACTGGGGTTGCTTATTACATAGATGATGGGATTGGGATTCGAACCCAGGTCCTCATGGTTGTGCAACAAACATTCTTTTAACTGGTGATGTCTCTGTAGCTCCACAAACTCATCTTTAAAAAAAATTATTAATTTTAATCATGCACATATGTGGCTGTGTGTGGGTACAGGCACATAAGATAGCTTCCCCCAGAGGCCAGAAGAAGGCATCACATCCTCTGGTGCTGGAGTTGCAGGTACTTGATATGTCCAACATGGATGCTAGGAGCCAGACTCAGGTCCTCTGTAAGAGTAGCAGACTCTTACTGCTAAGCCATCTCTCTAGCCCTTCAAACCCTTCTCTTTTTTGATTTTTTGAGACAGGGTTTCTATGTAGCTTTGGAGCCTGTCCTGGAACTCGCTCTGTAGTCCAATCTGGCCTCAAACTCACAGAGATCCGCCTGCCTTTGCCCCCTGATTACTGGGATTAAAGGCATGCACAACTGCCTAGCTCCTTCAAACCCTTCCTAATGCTTGGGATTTGTTAAGTGTTCTAAGGGTTTTTTCCACTCTATTGGCCGTGCCAGACTGACTTTATAACAGCTTGTTCCCACAAACTGACCTAGTCATCTCTTGAGATCGGAGTCCTGATCACCTCTTAAAGGTCCTGCCTCTCTCACCAACATTGCTTTAGGGACTGAATGTTGATGTGAGTTTTGGTGGGACAAGCCATACTTTCTATTCAACAAGTGAGCAAAGTGAGGCACATTAAAGAGATGGGCTAAATAAGTAAGAAAATTGGAAATTAGGTCCTTACTAGATGATGTCTTAGTTAGGTTTTTTGTTTTGTTTTGTTTTGGGGGGAGGGGATTTTTCGAGACAGGGTTTCTCCGTAGTTTTTTTTTTTTTTTTTTTTGGTTCCTTGGAACTAGCCCTTGTAGACCAGGCTGGCCTCGAACTCACAGAGATCTGCCTGCCTCTGCCTCCCGAGTGCTGGGATTAAAGGCATGTGCCACCACCGCCCGGCTTAGTTAGGTTTTTATTGCTATGAAGAAGCACCATGACCATGGCAACTCTTATAAAGGAAAACATTTACTTATGGTGGCTCACTTACAGATTCAGAGGTTCTGTCCATTATCATCATGGTGGGACATGATGGCTTGCAGGCAGGCATAGTACTGGAGAGGTAGCTGAGAGTCCTACATCTTGTAGGCATCAAGAAACCAAGTGTGACACTGGGCATGGCTTGGGACCTCAAAGCCCACCCACACAGTGATACACTTCCTCCAACAAGACCACACCTTCTCCAGGAAAGCCACGCCTCCTAAAGTACGGCTCCCTTTGGGGGCTATTTTCTTTCAAATCACCACAATGATACTCATACAACTTAAAAAGTAGTATAGAATTATGCTATAGGAGAGTCTTTATGTATGCTGGCCCTTTAGTCCCAGCATTCAGGAGGCAGAGGCAGGTAGATGTCTGAGTTCAAGGCCAGCCTGATCTATGTAATGAGTTCTAGGATACCCAGGGCTACATAGTGAGAGCCTGTCTCCAACAGAGAACACAATCTGATCCTGCATTACCATTCTGTTCCCTTGCAGGAGGTTGGAAATCTGTATGACATGTTCTACACACGCAACAGCTTACATCGCAGAGCTTATCAACATAAAATCAGCAACCTCATCGATATAATGTAAGAATGTCAGTGTTACCTCATTATAAAAGTTTACATCATGCTTTGCCACGTGAGCATTCCCAGATCAAGCTGTGCAAGCTGTGCAATCTAAAAAGGCTTCCTTAGAAGAAGACTGGCATACAGGAAATGTAGGAGGAAGAAAATGGATGTGGTGATGGGGTAGATGGAGAAACAGGAGCTGGCCTAGGCTAGGCATGAAGATGCTGCCAGAATGGCTCAGAGTCCCCGTGCAGGAAGTTACATACAGCTATTATTCACAGAGGTAGTGAGTCATGAACAGCTGACAACATTCTAAGTTAACAACAAAATTAATATTTATGCTAATTTCTGCCTTTATCCTGTCAAATGTTTTTCCAAAGTGAGTAGCAAATAAGAATTTTATCTTTTTCCCTGTTCTAGTCAGAACTACAGCCAAAAAGTGCACAGTCTCTACATGTCTCAGAGACCCCATCAGGAGTGTCCTTTTTTTGTTTTTAAGACAGGATCTCATACTTATATCCCTGGCAGGTCTGGAATTTACTATATAGCCCACGTTGGCCTCAAATTCATGATTCCCTGGCTTCCGCCTCCCAAGTACTGGGATCACAGGCCTGAACCACCACATTTGGTTCCAGTGAGTTCCAGGACAGCCAGAGCTGTGTAGAAAACCCATCATAAAGCGAAACAAACAAACAAGAAAGGAGTTGTAAAGCTGAATATGAGAGCACATGTCTGTGATGCCAGCACTGGGGAGGAGAGGCAGTTCAAAGTCAGCCTTATGTATGTAGCAGCTTTGGAGCTAGCCTGAGCTACATGAGACCTTGTCCCGAGAGAAGGAAAGAGCTAAAGTAATTTTGTTTCCAGTTTAGAGTCAGAAAGGCTTTGGTTCAAAGCTTGATTGCTTCTTCTGAGCTTGTTTAAAGAAAAGTCATGTTATTTCTGCTTTTATAAATTTGGAGCTGAATATATGTATTATTGGAAGAACTAAATGAGGTCTGTAAAGCTCCGCCGTAGTGCCTGGAGCATAGTAGGCACGCAGCTCACAGGTCATCATGTCATTATAAGGATATCAATAAACAGCTGTCTTTGAACATCATACCTCAAGATTTTGTTTTCTTAAACTAGAAAGATCTTTTTGAGCAAGGTATAAAGTGAATTTTCAAATGTCTTTGTGTGTTATATGATCTTTAGGATCAAAGAGGCCTTCATCAAAGCAGACCCCTACGTGGAGATTATAGGGACCGATGGGGAGAAGCGCCGTATTTCTACAGCCATTGATGACATGGAAGCCTTCACTAAGCTGACGGGTAAGAACTCGGGGACACACATGTCCATGTCAGATGTCAGCTGCCCTTGCGGGGATAGAGAAGACATGAGAAAGGAGTACAGACATATGTGAAGTTACAAAAAAAAAAAATCATTCTTAAAGTAGGTGTAGTGGAGGTAACACCTAAATGAGGCACAGTACCTCTTGTGTACTCATTGTTACTTAATACAACTCGATTAATACTAAAAAAAAAAAAAAAAAAAAAAAAAAAAAAAAAAAAAAAAAAAAAAAAAAACAAACCTTGTCATCACAGTGGACTGAAATACTTTAAGGGCCTGCCTTGAAGACTTTCCAGTAGAGCAGCCACAAGAAGCGTAGGAACTAAAGTCTGATGGCTGTAGGAAAAGAATCTTCTCTCACTACACTCTTTCTATTCATAGGCTCTTTGTTTTTTCCTCCTAATTGTTTATATTTTCTTCGTTCTAATTCTCTGTCTCAATTCTAATCTCAATATTCTGTCACAATACTCTGTTCCAATTCATTCTTATTCTGATTATCTACATTCTTTTTTCTTCTCCATCTTATTTCTTCTCAAGCTATTTCTTCTACAGTTTTCTATCTCTATATTCTTAGTCTACTCTTCTGCCATAACCAATTCCCAAGCATGTATATATATCCATTCATTAGCAACTTGCTAGTAATTAAAAAAAACTATCTGGAAAATTCTCAGGGACACAGGCATTCTTTGAAGATATGTAGCAAAACTTAACAGTTAGTTTGTAGCTAACCACAGCTGCAAGGCTGTCTCTTAAAGGGGCTGCCACAGGTTACAAAGGGAGAAAACTAAGCCATTGAGAAATCTAAGGAAAAGGCAAAGAATACGTGCATTATTTTAAGTGTGATTAATAATATCTGGACATGGTTAGTCAGCTAGGTGCTATTGGTCTCTTGAAGGACTAAGATAAAACAAGGAGAGACACCCGCAGTACCACCCTAATTCATCATAAATCCCCTCAAGGCTTAGGTCGTACAAGGCCAGACACCTGCAATTTCATAAGTAATATCTGTGGAAGTTTCGTCTGTGTTCTGTCCAGAAGGACACATGTCTGGCCAGCTTGCTCCGTCAGTAAGGCTAGTGATAGAGAACAGGCCTCTAAGTTTCTCACCGTAATGTGGAGGACATAGTGTAGAGAGCAGCCATGCTTTTGACCGTCCACAGATATGTGTGCCCGTAAGATTGAGATGTAATCATGAGATCACATGTACACATTACATGAGAATGCATGGTAATGGGGAGACATTATAGCTGTTATTGCACAAGCGAATTATAGATGAAAGCAAGAGTTTTCAGAGTCAGTGGCCCTGCTGGCTTTGCTGGGCAGGGTTCCTCCATCTGAGGAATTTCTCGGGTGGGTTGAGATCTGAATTATCAATTGTGATACGCTGTAATTGCGTCATGGCCCACAAAAGCTCATGAAAAACACTCCTGGCATCTCAGCCTTTTCTGTTTAGAAAGAGAAGCAAGTAAGTCAATCTTAGGACAGCAAGTAACGTGGATAATTAAAAAGTCTGAAGATGACTGGAAGAATAAGTAATGATACTGAAATTATTAGTCAATAATTAATACTAGTATTTAGTCAACATTTATATTAACAATCTCTGTTTATAATCAACAATAATATTTATAATCAATAATCTATAATTAATAATAATATATATTGATGGTAAGCTGAGAATTAGTTGAACCATCTTGTAAGTGTAGTTGTATATGATTTCGGAATATCTCTGCTCTATGGTAAAGAAGAGGAACAATATAGGAATCTATAATGGGATGACATGATGTGGTTAGGTGTATCTAAATGTTATGATTTTGAGTTATCAAAAAGAAAAGATTGAATTTAGAAAGTTAGTTTGCTCTATTAGCCTTTGATTAATTGTATTAATCTGCATTTTGATGAAGCACTGTTAGATAAAAGATTTACCTGGATTTAAGGTATGCATATGTGGTACCAAGGCTGCAGCTGAAGTTGACCTAATAAGTCAAATTTGTAATCAAGGCATAACAAGCCATTTTGGCTATGAAAGGGAAGTACCAACTTGTCTCAAAGTATACATGGCAAGATTTTTACAACAGAACAATTGTCAGACGTACATAAGGAGATTGTCTGATAGCACATGCATTGCAGGATCGTGGGCAGAATTTATACAACAGTAATAGATCAATTTATTTATTATATATGCAATATTCTGTCTGCGTGTATGCCTGCAGGCCAGAAGAGGGCACCAGACCTCATTGCAGATGGTTGTGAGCCACCATGTGGTTGCTGGGAATTGAACTCAGGACCTTTGGAAGAGCAGGCAATGCTCTTAACCACTGAGCCATCTCTCCAGCCCAATAGATCAATTTTTAAAGGTGGTCCAGCCCCTGGGCTGTAGAGTTCATTAAAAAAAGGGATGAGTAACACAGGACTGTAGAAATCACTCATGGCTGCTTCCTGCTGGCCTGATGGCGAAGCTGGAGGTCTTGAAGACTGGAACACCCTGAAAACCTGGGCAGAGCAGGCTGTTTGATTTGTTGTCCCTGCAGGCAGCGATTGTATCGATTTGTGCTGAGAGAGGGTCAGGAGAGTGCAGCGGAGCCCCTGGGGAGTGAGCTGGCAGGCAGGGCACATGCAGGGCTGCTGTGAGATGGCCAAGTTATCTGTAATCTTTTAAATGATTTTTATTTCTGCTGGAACAGATATGTATCAATGGCAGAAAATGAAGTTTAGGAATTTTAAAGAGGAAACTTTTTCTCTTAGGTGTCTATTTGGAATTTTTAAATGTAGAGTTTTAGCAGATTAGAGAAGGGTATTCCAAGCCAGGAGAGAGGGAAAGTCCCCCCACCCATTTTTTTTTTTTTTTAAATAGGCAGGTAGGAAAACTAACTTTTGACAAGTAATACTTATCTGAATTTATGTTGACCTGGAATCCAAGCTGATCTCATGAAGCTTATAAGAACTTTTTCTAAGAGACAAAAATGTCAGTCAGCTATGTTATTGTTATTATTATTTGTAGTCTGTATTGAAATCCATGTTGTAGAAGAGGCAAGGAGACTCACTTTCAGAGCCATAATAGAAATTTGTAAACTTCAAAATAATTTTGGGCCGGGCGGTGGTGGCGCACGCCTTTAATCCCAGCACTCGGGAGGCAGAGGCAGGCAGATCTCTGTGAGTTCGAGACCAGCCTGGTCTACAAGAGCTAGTTCCAGGACAGGCTCCAAAACCACAGAGAAACCCTGTCTCGAAAAACAAAACAAAATAATAATAATTTTGGTTAAAAGTGATATATTTATTTTTATTCGTACATAAGTCAAGAAGATGTCTCCATCAAAATCAGAAGCGTTCTTAGTCTATACTTAAGAAATGACTACCTGGAATATAGATCCTCAAGTCTGTGGCTGGACAGCAAGCAGTCATTGTTTTGTCAGTTTATTAGAATTATATTAATGTTAAACTTTGAACTTTAGGAATCTTGATATAACAATATCATAGAAAGGGAAGGTTTTTTCCCCTTCTGTTAGCATCATAGAATAAAATATTTTAAAACGTTATAAAAACCTTTGAATAAGTCAGCTTACAAACTTCCATGCACTTGTCACTTAGCTTTAACTGTTATCAACACGTAGCAATTCTTTCCCTCTACCTCCTTCTGGCAAACATTGAGCTGTTTTAAGTAGATCATAGACATAATTTTGTTTGTAAGTGTTTAACACTGTCTAGAGCTAATTAGCAAAATCTTGTCTCAATTACAAAAATAAAAGCCCAACAGTAATAAGTAAGTCTGTGTACTGCGTGCCCCAGCCCAGGCCATCGGTTGTGGTGCACTCTCGGTTCATCTCACGGGAGGATCTTCCACTTCTGTGCTCACCTTTGCCCCTCTCTGCCATCGTTTCTACACACACAGTCACAACACTCTGCCTTATTAAGACCATTTCAGGACCACAATGGTTAAATCTACTGTCATTTTAATGTGAATGAAATTTCATCACATTGACAGATAACATTTTTCTGGAGATTTTAAACTCTACTGATCCACGGTTGTCTGAGGCACGAAATATTTTAAGGAACATCGAACGCCGTGATCTATACAAGTATTTGGGTGAGACCCAGCCAAACGGTCAGCACAAAATTAGAAAGGTAAGTTGTATCATTAGCTACCCTGCTGTTCTTGCAGGGTTATCCCAGTCTCTGTCCTCAAGAAGAAGCTGTTAATCTTCCCAGTAGCCATGCTTCCTGTGTGTTCTCATTTCATCTACATACTATTCTTTGGCCTGTTTACCAGACGAAAAAACTGAGGCTGGGTGATAGTAAAAGCATTGCTCGTGAAAGTAGTCGGGTTAAGGTTCAGAGGCAGGTCTAAGCGACTATAATAAAAATCTGCTCTCACGTTCAGTCAGGACCTCAAGTTTGAGATAGATCCAAGACTGGACAATGAATGTAAGGGGAAATCCCTCAAAATAAGACCTGTGTGAGCTTCACTCCTGCTCGGAGAACCTGTTTTATCTCTAGGTGACCCTTGAACAATGATGGTTAGGGCTGCTTGACTAGTGCAGTCAAAAACTGACCTTGAACTTCTCTGACTTAGTATAAAACACGCCTTTCCTTGAACGAGGAGGGAGTGCAAAGATCATGCTGACCTTAAGAGCAGCACAGGAAAACTGACCCTGCACAGCAGTGGGTAGGTGGGGGTCTACTCACCTGCTCTGCCTACCAAATGGGACCTGTGCCGGCCTACCCTCCTTGCACCTTGAGGGACCCTCTCTGCCTTCCCCCGACTGTGAGCACTTGAATTGTAGCTAAGCCAGTGGAAGAGTACAGACTTCTCTAGGCAGACAGGGACCTCAAAGAACTGAAAGAGTTATAAAAATATACAAAACTATGTTTTTTATTGTGGCATGTTTCATATTTTTAAGAAAGCAATTAGTATTAATTATCTGACATTGGGTAAGAACAGGAAGATCGTGGGTAATCTATAAATTATGATTCTATGTAAAATATCAGGAGGAGGGACCCCTATTTCTCCACACTGACTCCTGTGCCCAGGAGAGCACCCACCCTCCACTCTCAATCCCCAGCTCTCTACCAAATGAGGGAGAGGCTGCTGGTAGAGGAGGTGCTGGTGGCCTCCTGCTTTGGAGCAGCAGGCTGGTCAGTATTCTCTCAAAAGATGAAACCGGAGTTCAGCACCTGCTCCCTCCCAGAGAATGGGAAAGTTAAGGAACTGAAGTGGGTGGCAGCTTGAAGGCTGTGCGGCAGAGCTGGTGGAGAGCAGAACTCACAGTCTGTGGCTGTGTCCCCACCTCCAGAGGCTCCTGATCTGCCTCGGGCTGATAGCAGAGCACCCGTCTGCAGACGGAGGTCCCCTTCCACAGTTCCACTGCTTTCGTTTTCTGACCTGATGATCTTATTATAGAGGATGAGAAGTCTGGGCCAACAGCAACAAGGGAAGCCAAAATTTAAGTAGCTGAGAAAATCCAATGAACATGAATAGGAGAACTTCTCTTTCCTCGATATCACGGGTTTTTGCTAATGTTTTATAAGTAATTTTCCCCGACTTGATTTTTCTTTTATAAAATTCCATAGAACAGTGTTTTTGATACAACCATTTAATGTATGTACAAATTGTAAGGAATATGTGTAAATATTTTATATAAATGTAAGAGCATGTAGAAACCAATATATTAACAAATTATTTAAAAAACTGTAAAAGAAAAATTGACCTTTAACTTTTGGCTCTCCAGAAATGTAAGTACTAATAGTCTGCCATTGCCCAGGAGCCTCACCAGCATCAGAGCAATTAACTCCATGGATTTTGTGTGTTATTTGTATTATATGGGGCCAAAAATACAGAAGGACTGGGAAAGATGAGCTTGCGTCTGTATGCAGCTTACTGGTGAGATATGAGATAATGTCACAGGGGCCTTTGGCAACACCAGACACTGCAAAAGCAGCAGGAGGTAGCTCTGCGTGGACGGATGCCACATTCTTGCCAAAATGTGCTGGTTGTTTGTGTTTGTTTTTAATGAAAACTGCCCAGTTTATTTCCAGGCTCGCATGCGTGGAGCTTTCTTGATGGGGTATCTCTGTTTTGATTGGTATCGAAGGAACATGACCATGGCACAAGTACGTAAGGACAAACTGGGTCCTAACTGGGAAGTCTCATCTCTTCTAGGAAGATTACGAACAGCTTCCCCAAGAGATTGTTAACACCAAACCTGATGTGTGCCTGGAAGCCCAACTGAAGGCCGAAGATTTCATAGTGGATGTAAGTTGGTGAGCCCAAGAGAAGATTAAGTGAAAAATTCTGGTTTAAAAAAAGGCCAAAAAGCCGGGCGATGGTGGCACACGCCTTTAATTTAATCCCAGCACTTGGGAGGCAGAGGCAGGCGGGTCTCTGTGAGTTCGAGACCAGCCTGGTCTACAGAGCTCTAAATCCACAGAGAAACCCTGTCTCAAAAAAACAAAACAAAACAAAAAAAGGCCAAAAAGCCTTCCCTCTGAGGGTGGTAGCCTTTAGTCCCAGCACTCAGGAAGCAGAGGCAGGCAGATCTGTGAGTTCAAGGCCATCCTAGTCTGCATAGTAAGTTCCAAAACTGTGTAGAGAGACCCAGTCTCAAAAAACAAAGCAAAACAAAATTAAAAACAAAAACAAAAAAAAGCCTTCCCTCATCATAAAAAACTTGGAGGGTAGGAGGTGGTGATGTACTTCTGAAATCTCAGCACTCAGGAAGTAGAGGCATTAGAAACACACATTTGAGGCCAGCCTGGTCTATACCGTGAGCTCCAGGCTGGCCAATGCTACATAGTGAGAACCTGTTTCAAAACAAACAGACCCAGCAAAGAGGCTGAAGAGATGGCTCAGCATTTAAGAACTTTCTGCTCTTCCAGAGGACCAGGAAGGTCAGTTGCCAGCACCCAAGTCAGGTGACTCAAAACCACCTATAACTCCAGCTCCAGGATCCAATGTCCTCCTGCGATTCCTTTCTGTGCGCACACACACACACACACACACACACACACACACACACACGCACGCACGCACGCACACACGCACAGACACACATTCATGCACTTAATTTTAAAAATATATATGCAAAAATCCAAAATAACTCAAACTTGGAGACACAGAAAGCCAGAAGGATGAGAATCAGCTGTAGTCTTAGAAAATCAACATTATCAGCCACTTTTCAAATTTTCCTAGTGATGTTCTGTCAGTATATTGAGATTATGTGATAATAGCAGAGGTGTCTTGTTTTCTGCCCACAAAGCCCTTTTCACCTTTTCATTTCATTGACCCTAACTCAGCTCATCGGGATCTCCTATTGGCTCCTCACTTTCTTATAGCTATAGCCTATCTTACCTGTGTTTCTCTTTTAAAAAGTCAAACTTAGATTTTGTAATCATTATTAATAAAATTCCACCATTTCTTTTTTTGGGGGGATTTATTTATTAAGTATACAGTGGTCTGCCTGCATATGTCCCCGCAGGCCAGAAAAGGGCAGCATATTTCATTACAGATGGTTGTGAGCCACCATGTGGTTGCCGGGAATCGAACTCAGGACCCCTGGAAGTGCAGCCAGTGCTCCCAACCTCTGAGCCATCTCCCCAGCCCAAATTCCACCATTTCTGTAGTTACTGTCAACCCCTTACCCTTTGCATCTCTTTGGCAAGAGTCCAGATAATCTAGATGTGTTGATGCTAACCTCCTCCCTAACTATAGCTGGCTACACAAATCCTTTTAGAAACATCACTGCACTGTGAGTTCCTGGTCACCAATTTTAGCTGGGTCCTCTGTAGTTTCGAGCAGGTTGGGTACAATTCTCTCAGACTCCATAGCAAACCATCTTTACTCCACTCAGCTCTTCACCCCTACTTACCAATCTTAGGTGTTCACCCTGAGTGAATAGCCCAACATGGCCCCGTGTTCAGATAATAAAAATAAAAGATACTTACAGGCCATTGCATAGGTACGCTCTCAAACTTCAGTTTTCTCCCATCTTCCCTTAGTTAGAGAAATCTTTTTCCTAATTAAAGACTTAGCCAGGCCAGGTGTGGTGATGCATGCTTTTAATCCCAGCACTTGGGAGGCAGAGGCAGACAGATCTCTGTGAGTTCAAGGCCAGCCTGTTCATATAGTGTGAGACCCTGTTTTTTTTTTTAAAGGAGGTTTGTCCAGGTGGTGGTGGCACACACCTTTAATTTCAGGTCTCAGGAGGCAGAGGCAGGTGGATTTCTGTGAGTTTGAGGCCAGCCTGGTATACACAGTGAGTCCAGGACAGCCAGGACTGTTTCACAGAGAAAGCCTTTGGGGGAGAGGGGACACCAAGAGAGACTCAGGAGGAGGAGTGCTCTTTCTACTGTGTGTAGAACAATACTACCCAGTGGAACCTCCTGCAATCACAAAAAGGTCTATATCTGTACTGCCATTTTATTTTATTTTATTTCATTTTATTATTTTTGGTTTTTCGAGATAGGGTTGCTCTGTGTAGCTTTGGAGCCTGTCCTGGAACTAGCTCTTGTAGACCAGGCTGGCCGTGAACTCACAGAGACCCACCTGCCTCTGCCTCCCGAGTGTTGGGATTAAAGGCGTGCGCCACCCCCGTCCGGCCCTGTGCTGCCATTTTAAATGTGATTCCTAAGACTAAGAAATGATTTTTTTTATTCTGTTAATTAATTTAAATTTTAAGTTATTGCTGGATGTGATGGTTAATATAGTATTGACCACATGCGAGAGAAACTGAGATAGTCAGGAGGGCCACCCGAACTGGATGGTACAGTGGTAATTTCCTAATAAATAAAAATTTAAAAATAAACCACTTGGCTAGTGACTGCCACGCTTGGCACTGCAGATCTGGAGCCCGCTGTGTATATTCCTCTCTTCTGTAGATCTGTCCTTCCGCCCACAGACTTGCCCGCTAGCCGCGGTTAGTCTTCCCTATGAAGGAAATCACCACCCTATACTCATCTTGCTCCCTTTCCTCTCCTTCAGGGGCAAACTCCTAGAAAGACCTTCTGAATTCTTACGTTTCTCTCCAGGTATAGGTTAAAGGTTAAAGTCTCCCTTATCCAAAATCTGAAACCTGAACTTTAAAATGTTATACCGTCTAGAGCCGGGAATTTGGCTTAGTGGTAGAGCACTTGCCTGCCATTCTCTAGGCCCTGAGTTCAATCTCCAGCACGTGCGCACGTGCACACAGCCTGAAAGCAAAATTCTCCCCAAGATTGTCAGGGATTCCAGTGAGGCTAAAGCATCAGGCAGTGTCAGACCTTTGCTTCAGAGCAGTTTTTCTTTTTTTTTTTTTTTTAAT